AATGGTTTAGCTGGATTTATCTGCTTTGCAGAGTTGTTAACTATATGCCAATTGTAGGTTAGGGGTGTCGGGGGAATCTACTAAAAATTAAGTGTGTTTTATTTCTGGAGCCCTACTTTCTGGAAATACTTGCAAGGAAAGACCAGTTGCCAGTTAAGGTCACTCTTTCTTCATCAAACTAACGCATGTGATCTGCTTATAATAAAATGCTTCTATTAATTTGCAGTGACTCAGAACGGAAATTTTATTCAGTCCTTTACGTAGGTATGTTCAACTGAAAAGTAAGCACTTTGCTTCTGTCCAAACTTTGAAAGAAATGTGGGTCCCTTTTAAATCCAATGAAAAGTCCATGCTTTTATTAAAGGAGCATATGAACAACTCAAATGTAAAAATCTCACAGTAAGTAATATGTATAATAGATCCCATTAGAAGGTGCTAATCAGATAATGTGGTCTGACTCTGTGTTTAAGAAAACAGTCCTAGCTAGATAGTTCAGTTGGTTAGAGCATTGTCCCAATATACCAAGGTTGTAGGTTCAATCCCCAGTCAGGCACATATAAGAAACAACCAATAAATACATAAATAAATGGAACAACAATCTCTCTCTCTCTCTCTCTCTCTCTCTCTCTCTCTCTCTCTCTCTCTCTCTCTCAAAAGGAAAAAACAGAACAGACTAGTTCCATAGGAGCAGGAGCCAGGGGCTGTTTGTCAACAGTGTCAGCTGCCAGGAATATTTCTTCCTCAGCGAAGAGTCCAGAGCTATACCCTCTGTGATAAGACGCGCCCCTTGTTTTATTAAGTTGGTGGCTCCAAGTCAGAGACCTGAGGACCCCTGGGTGTGATTTAACCTTTAACCTATGAACTCAGGAACTGTCAGGGTAATTTATGCCAGCCTTCCAGTATTGGGCTCATTTCACCCTCTGCCGTCTTTACCAATGCAAAACAAGAGAAATGCCTATTGATTGTGAAAGTGTTACATGCAATGCCCTGGGAAGATGTAAAGTAGAAGAGAGGAATCAGCCCTCTAACCTAGTTTCGTATCCGCAAACAATTCCATTCCCTCAGGTATCAACCTTGGAGCCCCATTCTTCCCCCACAGCTCCACCATTACCTCACTATTATTTATTATATGACTCTTAAAGCCAGATATTTTTTATGATGAAACTGTTTCCGTAATAAGTGATTTCAACATCATTTATGGTTTATGGCTTAGGAGAAGGAAATCATATAATTTCGTTCCACTCCTGAATGTCCAGGCATTGCAGATATAATCCTCCTCATGCCAGTAAAGACATTAAGGAGAGAGAAATACAGCTCTTTTTCCAGCCTTCCAAATAGGAAAAATATTTCTCAAAAAAAAAATAATAATAAAGAACAAAGCCACGAAAATGGTCCAACAAAACATTGGAGACATGGCGACAAAACAGAAAACAGTGTTATTCCTTAGAAAAAGTGAATCACAGAGCTGTAACCATCAAGTCATGCTTCAATATTGCCACTATAAAATGGGTTTTACAAGGTGAAACAATAACATGTGCTGAAAATATGAAGGAAATCTGGACATGTAATCAACACTTGATTTTTTGGGATAAAGACTTTTAGATGAAGACATTCAGAAATTATAGCTCTGGACCCATACTATAGTTAAGAATTCATTTCAGTAAGAAAGAGGCAGCATTAGCCATCACTGCCAGAATTCAGATGGATGTTTAAAACCCCAGACTCTCATCCTCCTCCTCCGACACATCCCATGCCGAAGAAATAAATGTCAGGAGAGCAGAAGACCTTTCCACTAGACAGAACACGGCGCAGGAATGAGCGTTAAGGGAATCTGATTCTGACATGACCCCATCAAATCCCAAACCTCATTGTGCTGATAGAGATCAGAGGCAAAAGCAAAAAAGGTTGACTCTACACTCGTGTGCCAGTAAAAACTCCGTGGCAGGTTTTACAGAGAGAGCAGCTGACATTTGGGGGACGTATGGGGGAACGTGGCTGAAATACAAAAGAGAAGTCGGCAAGATTGAACGTTGACTTCCTGCAGATATGTGAGCAGCAATACAGGGGTGCAAAAATTGTCTGTTTAGGAAGCCTTTGTTCCTGCCAGCCACATACCCCACCCTGATGTGTGTTCAGCGGGAAGATACAACCGGAATACCCAGAGCAGGCAAGGTCCTGACAGCCTTGGCCTCCCTGGTGACTGTGCAAAGGACGGTCTCCAAACGGGAGTGACGTGAAGAAAAAAGGGATCATGAACTTCATGAATCATTCTGTAAACGAAGCCATATTTCCTTTCATGAGTTCTTAGGTCTTGTTTTAAAAATGTTTCAAGAATGTTCTAAAAACTTTCCATGTTGGTCTGGCCGTCATGGCTCAGTGGTTCAGCGTAGACCTATGAATCAGGAGGTCATGGTTCGATCCCCAGTCAGGACACATGCCTGGGTTGCGGGCTCAATCCTTAGTGTGGGGCATGCAGGAGGCAGCTGAGCAATGATTCTCTCTCATCAGTGATGTTTCTCTCTCTCTCTCTCTCTCTCTCTCTCTCTCTCTCTCTCTCTCTCTCCCTTCCTCTCTGAAATCAATAAAAATATTGTTTTAATATAAAAAGTAAAAACTTTCCACTTTTCAGTGTTGGTAACTTAAGAGGACTAGAAAATTCACTTGCATATGGATTGCTCTTGTGGTCTTATTGGGTCCTGAAATCTGTGCCAAAGTTGAATAAATAATTTTACAGGTGAAATCTGTTAGGATCTCTGGCAGCATGATTTGTAAGTGATTAGCCAAAAGAAATACCGTATTTTCCGGCGTATAAGACAACCCCCTAATTTTACAGTTAAAACATAGGTTTAGGCCTATATTCGCTGTATAAGACTACCCCCCACTTCCGAGGCAACACCAGTTCTTTTTTTAATAGACTGCCTCTCGCCGGGACTGGTTTGGCTCAGTGGATAGAGCGTCGGCCTGTGGACTGAAAGGTCCCGGGTTCGATTCCGGTCAAGGGCATGTACCTTGGTTGTGGGCACATCCCCAGTAGGGGGTGTGCAAGAGGCAGCTGATCAATGATTCTCTCTCATCAATGTTTCTAACTCTCTGTCCCTCTCAATTCCTCTCTGTGTAAAATCAATAAAATATATATTTTAATAGGCCGCCTCTCTGACTCTGGCCAATCTGAGCAGGCTTTTTACTAGTTTCAAAAGTCGTCTTATACGCCAGAAAATACGGTAAGTAGTTTCCACAGTTCATTGTGGAAATCTTTCATTTAACACCCAGCAAACTCTACTGCACAGCTGTCATTTGGCGGGCGCTGGAGAGCTCTCCGAACCTGGGCACTAGTTTGGAGACAAACACCATCACACTCAGAGGCAACTATAAGGCAGTGTTGTCTGCTTCTTATAATCAACCCAATCCTGTCTCTTGTGAACAAAGGTTAGAGAACAAATGCAGTTAAACAGGGATGTCCTAGAAATGACAACCAGAAATAGACTTAACACGGTTTCCGTAAATAAAACCGAGGACAGGAGAGCAAGGTGCTGAAGCTGGCGTTTCCCAGGAAGGGTGGAAATCTGTGCTCCGGACCTTTGCACAGCCCATTTACCGACCAATGTCACCCAAGATTCTGGGAGTGTGTTAAGGGCTTAGGCCTGCTCTGTCCAATGTGGCTTATGTCCAATGTGCACTTGAAATGTGGCTGGTCATCCTGCCCAGTTAGGCTCAGGGTGTCTGCCTACCGAAGCATCTCAGGTTCTATTCTTGGTCAAGAGCACATACCTCTGTTATAGGTTCCCAGGCCTGGTTGGGGTGCATGCAGGAGGCAACCAATTGATGTATCTCTCTCATGTCAATCTCTCTCTCTCTCTCTCTCTCTCTCTCTCTCTCTCTCTCTCTCTCTCTCTCTCTCCTCTCTCTACTTCCTCCCTTCCATTCTCTCTAGAAATCAATGGGAAAAATATCCTCCAGTAAGGATTAAAGAAGAAGGAGAAGAAGAAGAAGGAGGAGGAGAAGGAGGAGGAGGAGGAGGAGAAATGTGGCTGGTGAGCAAATTGAGATATAATTTAAATGTAAAATAGATGCCAGATTTCAAAGGCAATATGAATAGAAAAAAAATAAATCATCTCATTAATGATTTCTTCATGTTGATTTATGTTGAAATGGTAATATTTTGGATATACAGGTTAAATAAAATATAGCATTCAAAATAATTTTACTCATTTCTTTTTATCTTTAATGTGACCACTAGCAGTTGACTAATTAATATATGGTTCACATTACATTTTTATTTATCAGCACTGGCTTAAACTCTTGAACCTGAGAAAACAGAGTTCAAATCCACACATTAGTTATGTGACCTTAATCAAGTTACTTCACCTTCCTAACCACTTGCCATCTACCAGTTTCTGTTTTAATTGGTGGGGAAACCTCAAAGAGTTGGTTTTAGGGTGAAGTTTGCTAAGGTAACTCATGCAACACAAGTCTTCAATAAATTTCAGCAAATATTTTCAAAACCATCTCAGCTATACAGTGACCTTTTTTTTCTTCTTTTTTTCATTTCACTGCTAGCCCTTCGAGGAATCACATGATCTAAATTGACCTAGGATCTTTACACAGGAAGTGGTATTTTCCACTCCCATTGGGGTCATTGTTTTCAACCTTCCTTGTTTGGTAAATTTCTACTCAATCTTCAAGATCTAACTCAAATACATCTCCTGTAACAACTTCCATGACTTCCCTATCTGATTAATTACTCTCAACACTGTCCATCTAATATTTATTTATCATGTTTTGATTGAGCACCTCCTATATGCCAGCTTTGTTTTGGGCTCAAATGGAGTAGTGAGCAAAATAATATTCCTGTCCCAACAACATTCTGCATGCTTGCGGAAAAGACAATGAACAAAAGCACACATCGCTTCGTGCCCACAAAGAGAAATTGGGGGGAAAATAAATTGGTTAAGAGAATTGAAAAGGACAAGGTCAGGGAACACCATTAAAATTTTTTTTTTTTAAATATGGAATGCTTCATGAATTTGTGTGTCATCCTTGCACAGGGGCCACGCTAATCTTCTCTGTATCATTCCAATTTTAGTATACACTGAGTGGCCAGATGATTATGATCTCTGAACGCATAATAATCTGGCCACTCAGTGTATATCCTATATAATAAAAGGCTAATATGCAAATTTTCTCCTCAATCAGGAGTTCTACCAGCAGGCAGGCTGGCCAACCACCCATGTCCCCTCCCCCTGGCCAGGCTGGCCGGTCCCCACCCATGCACGAATTCATGCACCAGACCTCATATATACGTATATATATATTTTGAGAAGCCAGATTATTATGCGTTCAGAGATCATAATAATCTGGCCACTCAGTGTATGTGCTGCCAAAGAACGCAAAGGGAACATCAATTTAGATAATGTGACCCAGGACAGCCTTTCTGGGAAGGTGGCACTTGAGCAAAAGCACAGGATGCCCCGCCTAACATGCTTGATGTAAGGACAGATACCCAGAGGGGAGGTCTGTGCCCTGACACTCTGACTGTGAGAGTGAAACAGGCAGCATCTCCATGGACTACTAGCTGGAAACACCCTGGACAGAAACGTGTCTGTCGTCCTGCTCCTCTGCAGCCTCCTAGAGAAAATAACCAAGGAAGCTACAGAAATAGCTCAGCTTCTCAACTGCCGCTGAACATGACATTTCTCTGACTTTACCAAAAGTAAAGAGCTGGCTAAAGCTCTTAGGTCCCTTACCCTGGCCACATGCCTATGGTAACATATTTATTTTAGTCTTAAAAATACAGCCTTTAGTTGTTATGTTGTTGATGAAAGTTACCATCTTGCCTGAAAAATAGCTTTCAGGGAGAAGGCCTTGGATTTCCCTTAGTCAACCATAACATGTTCATGTTAGAAATGATGAACTTTAGAACTGGACACAAGCTTCTGAACATCTCATAACCACCCATCCACATGCCTAAGTCTGGGTTGGTTTGTATAATAAAACTGAGTTTATCAGGATACATTCTTTCTGACCAAAAAAATATAAAGAGTATATAACATTTAATTTAATTAAACTGAATATAGAGTATGTATTATATAAAATATATAAAGACTAGAGGCCCGGTGCATGAATTTGTGCATCAGTGGGGTCCTTGGATCTGGCCTTTGGGATTAGGCTGAAACCGGCTCTCCGACATCTTCCAAGGAGTTCTGGATTGTGAGAGGGTGCAAGCCAGGCCGAGGGACCCCAACAATGCACATTTGGGGTCAGGGAGAGACTTGGGAGGTTGGCCAGCCAGGGAGGGACCATGGGAGGGTTCCAAGGTGTATCTGGCCCATCTCTTGCCCAGTCTCAATCAGCCAGACCTCAGCAGCAAGCTAACCTACCGGTTAGAGCATCTAGCCCCTGGTGGTCAGTGCACATCATAGTGAGCAGTTGAGCGGCCTTAGCATATCATTAGCATATTATACTTTGATTGGTTGAACAGACGACCAGACACTTAGCATATTAGGCTTTTATTATATAGAATAAAAAATATGTAATATTTTATGTAATATAATAGTTAAGTCTGATCTATATTCTTATTCCCATCATGATTATTAAGTCCAAGAAGAAAGCCAAAGAGAAGAAGAAGAAAAGATAGAGCTGTGAATATCTCAGATGGTAAAGAGTGAGTCCTAATTTTCTTCATCTCCCAGTAGTTGTGTGGTTTGCAGAGTTCAGAAGTGTCCATGCACACAAGACCAGCCAGCCTCATCTGTAACTTTCCACAGTGGAATAATACTGATGGCTTCCAGTTGTTTTCTTTCCATTAGTTGCAGCTGTTTTCTACTGTTATTTATTTTATTGCTGTTAATTATTTAAGTAATTAACACAGATTTATTTTGTCTTGAGGCCCTGTCTAGGGCAATGTTACTAAGGGTATAAATTTTCAAGTCAAACAAATACATGGACGAGGCCAGTGTGACTCAGTTGGTTGGGCATTGTCCTATGCACTGAAAAGTTGGGGGTTCGATTTCTGGTCAGGACATATGCCCAAGTTTCAGACTTGGTCCCCAATAGGGGGGGTGTGGGAAGCAGCCAACTGATGTTTCACTATCACATAATGTTTCTTTCTGTCTCTCTAAAGTCTTTTTAAAAAGAAGCAAAAGAAAGAAAGAAAGAAAGAAAGAAAGAAAGAAAGAAAGAAAGAAAGAAAGAAAGAAAGAAAGGAAGAAGGAAGGAAGGAAGGAAGGAAGGAAGGAAGGAAGGAAGGAGGAAGGAAGGAAGGAGGAGAGAGATAGAGAGAGAGAGAGAGGAGAGGAGAGAGGAGTAGAGAGAGAGAGAGAGAGAGAAAGAAGAGAAAGAAGAAAGAAAGAAAGAGCAAGAAAGAAAAAAGAAAGGAAAGAAAGAAAGCGACAGCCCTACCGGTAACCTATTAATAAAAAAAAAAAAAAAAAAAAAACAAAAAAAAAAAAAAAAAAGAAAGAAAGAAAGAAAGAAAGAAAGAAAGAAAGAAAGAAAGAAAGAAAGAAAGAAAGAATCACCCTAGACTTCATTTGTTTTAGGTTCTCCTGAAGTCAGATAATAGGGACTCTGGGGACCACATACTCTTGGCCAAAAAGAAAAATGTCATAGCCAACAGTCACTTACATCAGTTATGCACCTTTGGAAACCATTTGCCTCCTGTCAGCTCATTTTTCACAGGACACTTCCAAGGAGATGAGTGTACATACGCATATTTCAGCCAGTAAGTAAGGCTAAGAGGGGGTGAAAAATACATTGACCAGCGTTCTCTGCCATCAGGTCACAAGGGGAGGGTGTTGTGTTGTTGATAAAATTCTTTGGGTCTCAGCTGAGACTAAGTTGCTAAGCCAGCCTGAGTTCAGCTTCTAGAAAATCTACTCAGCACAAGTCTAAACTCACGATGGTCCTAATAAAGAACCAGCAAATCGAACCGAATCTTTAGAGGCCAATTTTTTTTTTTAAATGAAGAATATTTGTTCAAAGTGATAATGCTGACAGGATTTTGCTCATTGTATGGGTCTCCTTCTCACAACTGGCATGAATGAATAGTAAGTCTGAATTACCTGATAATTTGTAAATAGCACTTCCTTAATTACCATCAAGAATGTTCACACACACACACACACACACACACACACACACACCACTATTAGCTAACCAGGTATAGCCTAGGAAAAAAAAAATGCTGATCACATTTAATGTAAAGTTGCTGCCTAGCATAGTGGTCGGCAAACTCATTAGGCAACAGAGCCAAATATCAACAGCACAACAATTGAAATTTCTTTTGAGAGCCAAGTTTTTTAAACCTAAACTTCTTCTAACACCACTTCTTTAAAATAGACTCGCCCAGGCAGCAGTATTTTGCGGAAGGGCCACACTCAAGGGGTCAAAGAGCCGCATGTGGCTCACAAGCCGACCACGGGCCTAGCAGAGTCAAAGGAACACTCGTCCAGAGACAGGTGGCCTGAGTTCTCATCACACTTTTGTTGTTTATTCTGTGTGGGCTAGTACAAGCCAGCTGACCTTCTCATTCCTCTGTCTGCTCATCTTAAACATGAGGGGCATCTGCTAATGACCTCTATCTCCTTCCCAGCTCCAACGCGCTGATTTTACATCTCTAACATTTAAAGTAACACGTTGTCACCACATAAACGAATCTTGTCAAACTGATTTCCACGTGACTCCAGGAGACTTGAGTAAGTAGGTTACACAGCCCCACGCTAGCAGCTCAGAATCGGGTTCTCCCGATTAACTTTCTCATAAATAGCACAGAAGTCAGCTGCAACCCAGTTTTGCCTGCAATGTCACAAAACCTAAATTAGTTGAATTTAAATTGGCGAGGTGTGAGTATGTGTCAGATCAAAACCTAATGTCAAGTAATGGTTCGTGTTGTGTCCTGGGTCATTGTCCTTCTCTCAGTGTACAATCCACCCAGGAAATTGTAAAGTCCCCACAGCCTCCACGGACATTCATGACCATGGAGGTCTAACTCCAGATGATCCCTCCCCTGAGCTCTGAACTTAAATTTACTCCTCTAGTCACCACTCCCCAGGTGTTTCCTCCAAGCCTGGCGCCCAAGCTGTCCTTGAACAGCTGGGCTCTACGCTGCCTGCTGCTGATAGCACCTCTGCAGGGGGCTGTTGTTATCTCAGTGGTAGAGCTGAAGAGACTGGATCTCAGAGAGGTCACACAGCTGATCGTTTTCAGGCCATGCTTCCAATCCAGGTCTCGCTTCTAATCCATGCCCCTTCAACTGTTCCACAAGAGTGAACAATATAGTTAGAAATGCTGGATAGCAAATCATGGTAATTGTTCTGGATAAAAGTGTTCTCAGTGTAGAGACAGGTAAGTTTGGGTAGGAGGGGGATGATGGGGGATGAGGGGGAGGGGAGAAGCCACTAGTGCAGTGAGGACAAGGTCTGAAATCTGGGGTGGAGAGCAGTAGCAGGAGATGCTGAAAAACCGTTATCTGGGCAGAGTGGAAATCGCTTCATGGCCCAGGACAGAGAACGTAGGCCTCTGACATGGGTCATCAAAGGCTATCAAGAGGGAGCAGGGAGTGATGTCTACCACCGGTTTCATATTTCAGGGGGAACTTTCTGGAAATAACTTTACAAATGGCTTAGAGGGAAATGAAGAGAGATTAGAAATAGGAAGATCATTGAGGAAATGACTGTAATTGGCCAGGTGAGAAGAGATTCAGGCCTGAACTGGGACAGTAACGGCATGAAGGTTTAAAAAAGGATTTTGAATTTGGTGCACAGTTGAATTGGAGAAGTAGATAAGGGTGAGGTTATATTGCCCCAGAACCGTCCTTATTCGTCTCTACCTTGCTACCTCTAGAATATGCCCCAATGGCACACATATTGTAAAACCTGCCACCTCAGTGACGAAATTCACTGCTCTAGATGGTACCAGATCCAAAACATGCAAAAACAGAATGTCTAGATCATACTATTATTTACCTCTGTGTCTGTCCTCTATTTTTAAGAAGAAAGAGAGTTCCCGGTAGGTGTGTCTCAGTTGGTTGGGCATCTTTCCATGCACCAGAAGGTTGCCAGTTCAATTCCCAGTTGGGGCATGTGCCTAGGTTTTGGGCTTGATC